AGTCAGAGAAAGACAAATACTATATGGTTTTACTTATATGTAGAATCTAAAAAATAAAAAATAAATAAATCAAACAATAACCAAAATCAGACACACAGAAATAGAGATCAAACTGATGGTTATCAGAAGGGAGGGGTGAAGGGGAATATAGTCAATAATACTGTGATAAATTGCATGGTGACAGACGATTATTAGAATTAGTTGGGTGATCACAATGTAAGGTATAAAAATGTCAAATCACTATATTTTACACCTGAAACTAATATAACTAATATAATACTGTATAACAACTATATATTTTTTAAAAAGTTTAAACATATAATGCTTTAGGCCTGGCTGTTAGAGATATCTGGAATTTGTATTTTGATTTGAAAATAATTTCATCAGCTTGAAATTCAACTAAAGTACACTTTTATTGAAAGGCAGAATTTTACTTGGCATACTTGCTTAAAAGTAAGAAGAGTTGTAAAGGCAACATAATGTTGAAAATCTAGCAAATCAGGTGTAAGGACAGCTTCTCGAGATTTGGATTTTACTGGTAAGCCTTTAGGGTCTCCAAAGTCCAGCTGCAGCTCCCTTACAGGAATGCTGTGAGAACGAATCAGAAGGTGCTTAATGGTGTTTCCATGTTTCATTATGGAAAGAAAACCTCTGTGTAAACACAATGGTTACCATCCTATCTTTTATGCTGTGATTGATCTCCTTAAGAATACAGCCTTAGAGTAATAACAACTACCACCTCAGAGAAGAATTATTATGGAAAATAGCAGAGCTGTTGTTTTCTCTAGATATGGGAATAGTGGAATTAGTCTGTGATCACTAGAAAGCTCACAAAAGCTTCTCTTGGTAGCAAATGGGAAGACGAACGATGGGTGAGGCTTACTATCTGTAGAATGTTAACTGCGAAAACATTGTTGGCACCTACAAGAGCTTCGTCAATTTTTCATAATGACAGCTACCCACACTTGTCTGGTCCACAGTATCCTTGGTAAACAAAACAGAAAATAGATTCTGGCTTCTGAGTCTTTCCCAAATAAGTTCCAAACCAATTGCAGTCCATAGCTTTATCTGGAACACTTCTGCTGGTTCCTCAAAGGGTTAAACACAGAATTACCATATGATTCCTAGTGTTTACTTAGAATAATTAAAAAGAGGTACTCAAATAAATCCGTGTACACAGATGTTCATAATAGCCAAAAGGTAAAAACTGCTGAAGTATATACATCAGTGGATAAATAGATAGACAAATTGTGGTAAATACGTACAATGGAATATTAATCAGCCATGAAAAGGAATGTAGTAATAATAAATGCCACCACAAGGATAAACCTTGAAAACATTATGCTAAGTGAAAAAAGCCACTCACAAAGGTCACATGTTGTATGATTCCGTTTCTATGAAATATGCAGTATAGGTAAATCCACAGCATGAAAAACCAGGTACGTGGTTGCCAGTGGCTGGGGGTGAGGGAGGAATGAGGAGTAACTTCTTTATGGGTAGTGTTTTATTTTGGACTAGATGGAGGTAGGGGTTGTACAATATTGTGTGTGAATTGTACTAAATGCCATTGAATTAGTCACTTTAAAATGACTAATTTTGTTACATGAATTTCACTTCAATTAAAAAAAGGCATTTATAAATGTCTGGATCTAAAGACAAAAACCTTATTTTCCGTGAAGTAATTTTTCACTTTAATTCAAAACATACTAACTACACCCATTCACCATCTCATACTGCTGCTTCCCTTAATGAAAACACAATTTCTAATTTCACTCAAAGCACAATCTTTTTCTTTCAAAATTCTTGACCTATTTCCCATCTTTTGGCTCATTTCATCCCAACCACAGCTATATTTATTTCCAATTACAATGCCACATAAACATTCAAGTACAAAAAAGTCCCTGCTGTTTTAAAATGTAACTCCCATCTCTCTTTCCACAGATTTATATAAATTCCAGAGACCGAAATGCTAAGAAACCATGTCAATTTTCAGAGTGAGAAACTACAGAACTGATTGGCTTAAGGCTTTAGGAACCTAACATTAGATAAAGTTATTGGACCAATTTTAAGAAATTCAAAATAAATGGTCCAAAGCCAATGCAACACTTTTACTCTGTGAATAATTTGGCTCTTAAAATAAAAATCAGGTAGTGACAGCATCGTGGCAGAATGAGAAAACCTCTTGGTCTCTCCCCTTAAAGTTACAAGCTGGACAACTATAATTCGACCAGGACTCCCTGCTCAACACACAAACACATCTGAGAGCCCCGCGCACTGACACATCAGAAGGTGGGTGTGTGGAGGCAAGCAGGGGAATCAGGAAGGGGGGAGAGAGAGAAGAGAGCGGCACACACAATCTGAAGCTCTCCGCAGCCCCAGGAAACTCAGTAGCAGTGGAGGGTGGGGTGGCCACCCCTAGTCAGCAGACTGGAGGGGCAGAGGCAGCATTCCAGCCTGGGCAGCCAGTGCACATTGAGGTGAACCCAGCGACGGGGGGAGAAGCAGTGTAAAGGGTGGTGGCTGCAGTCAAGCAGCCACAATCATTAGGGAAAAAAAACACAAAGCCACGTGAGTGCAAATCTACCCCATCTCATCTATCGTATCAATAGATGCCCAAAAAGCATTGGAGACAAAATACAATATCCACTTATGATTAAAACACACAATAAAGTGGGTATAGAAGGAAAGTACCTCAACATAATAAAGGCCACGTATGACAAACCCGCAGCTAATATTATACTCAGTGCTGGAAAACTAAGAGCTCTTAAGGATCAGAAATAAGACAAAGCTGCCCATTCTAAGCACTGTTATTTAACACACTACCGGAAGGCTGAGCCAGAGCAATCAGGCAAGAGAAAGAAATAAAAGGCATCCAGATTGGGAAAGAAGAAGTAAAAGTGTCACATTTTGCAGATGATGTGATTCTCTATATGGAAAACTCTAAAGACTCCATCAGAAGACTACTAGAAACAATAAACAAATATAGTAAAGGATACAAAAATCAATGTACAAAAATTCATTGTGTTCTTATATACTAACAATGAAATATCAGAAAACAATCCCAATTGTAATTACAACAAAAAGGATAAAATACCAAGAAATAAACTTAGCAAAGGAAATGAAAGACCCAAACACTGAAATCTATAATACATTGTTGACAGAAATTGAAGAAAACACAAAGAAATGGAAAGACAGTCTGTGTTCATGGAAGAATCAACATAGTTAAAATGGCCATATTACCCAAAGCAATATACAGATTCAATGAGATCTCTATCATAATTCTAACAGCAATTTTTTAAAGAAATAGAACAAAGAAATCATCAAAGTTGTATAGAACCACAACAGACCCAGAATAGCCAAAGTAATCCTGAGAGGGTGGAGGGTGGGGGGGACACAAAGCTACAATAATCAAAACAGTATGGTACTGGCAGAAAAACAGACAGAGAGACCAATGGAACAGAATTAAGAGCCCAGGAAAAAAACCCACACATGAATGGGCAACAAAGGAGCCAAAAACATATAATGGAGAAAGGAAAATTTGTTCAAGAAATGCTTTTGGGAAAATTGGAAGGCCACATGCAAAAGAATGAAACTAGACTGCTATCTGATGCCATACACAAAAATTAACTCAAAATAGATTGAAAACATATGTAGTAAACTATGGACCTTGATCTCAGAGGGTTTTGTGAATTTGACCCCAAAGGCAAGGGAGGTAAAAGCAACAATAAATGAATGGGATTACATCAAACCAACAATCTTCTACACAACTAAAGAAATCAACAAAACAAAAAGGCAACCAACTAAATAGGAGTAGATATTTTCTAATGATACCTCTGATACAGGGCTAATATCCAAAATATAAAATATATAAAGAACTTATACAACTCAACAACAACAAAACAGACAATCCAATCACTAAATAGGCAGAGGACCCGAACAGAGACTTTTCCCAAGAAAACATGTAAGTGGCCAAGGATATATAAAAAGATGCCTGAATTCACTAGCTTTAGGGAAATGTAAATTAAAACCACCATGAGACACCACCTCACACCTGTTAGAATGGCTATCATCAGCAAAACAAGAAATAACAAGTGTTGGAGAGGTTGTAAAGGAAAAGGAACTCTCATTCACTGCTGGTGGGAATGTAAATTGATACAACTGTCTGGAAAACAGTATAAAGGTTCGTCAAAAAAATAACAGAGCTATCATATGACCTAGCAATCCTCTTATTGGTATCTACCCCCCAAATTTAAACACATTTATTCATAAAGATATATGTACCCCTATGTTCAGTGAAGCATTATTCATGAAAGCCAAGACATGGAAACAACCTAAGTGTCCTTTAATGGATAATTAGAGAAAGAAGGTGTGTGTGTGTGTGTGAGTGTGTGTGTGTGTACACAATGGAATACTACTCAGCCAAAAAAGCCTTTGTGACAATATAAATGGATCTTGAGAGTATCATGCTAAGTGAAATAAATCAGACGGAAAAGGAAAAGAACCATATGACTTCACTCATGTGGGATATAAAACAGGAAGCAACAAATGTACAAGTGAAACAAACTCATAGACACAGACAACAGTATGGTGGTTATTAGAGGGGAAAGTGGGTGGAGGAAGGCTGAAGAAGGTCAAATATATGGTGTTGGAAGGAGACTTGACTTTGGGTGGTGAACACACAATGCAATATACAGATGATGTACTATAAAATTGTACACGTGAAACTTAATCTCTGTTAACCAATATCACTTCAATAAATTTAATTTAAAAATGTTTTAAATCATTTTTCAGATAAAAAGGAATTCTCAGATTTAAAAATGCTTGTAAGTGTATCCATCTTTTAAATCTACCAATCTTACATACAGAAATCTGATCAAAAGTGCAAAGTATGAACATTTTATACATCTGGGCTCTGCTGTACCCCTCTACTTTTGTTAGTAAATGTTTTATTCTGATGGAGTTCTTTTTTTTACCATGAAAAAAGAAGTGTCCAATCTTACCATAATTAAGAGCTTCTGGTGCTGTCCATTTAATGGGAATCTGCTTTAGGCCAGAAGATGAATACACTCCACCATCCTCTTGACGAGACATTCCAAAGTCACTGATTTTCAGAACATTATTTTCACCTACCAGGCAGTTTCTTGCAGCAAGATCCCTATGTTACAAACACAGAAAACACTTATTAAAACAAATTGAAAGCCACTTTCACATTTACGACTTCACTTTGCATTTTTACATTTGCAATGTATTTATAATGAGGTTAAGAATGCTTGTGATTTACCAGTTTCTCACATCTTTTCTGTCACAGGTAAAAATCATCCTTGTGAATATTTACATATGGAACAGGCCACATGCTAATTTTCTAGGCACCACATATATTTCCATTTAAATAGAAAAATACTGATTCCAGGGTTAAGAAATAATCACAGACGAGAGGCTAAGCAAAGTTGGCATTATTTCTCCTTTGATTGGCTTTCCTAGAGTAGCACTGTCGAAGGGAACTTTCTGTGATGATGGAAAGTTCCCTGTCTGTGCTGTGCTGTTCAGTAGGCAGCCATCACACGCATGTGGCGACTGAACACTTGCAATGTGGCTAGTGTGATAGAGAAACTGAAGTTTCATTTGATTTTATTTACTTTTCATGAATTAAATTTCAAATAGCCGAGGCCACTAGCAGTTACTGAGTAAGATAGCCTGCAGTGTAATCTAGAGCTTCCCAGCACTTTTTCTATTGCATCTGGGTCCTGCAAAACTCTCTCTCCCACTTCATCTTGTTCCACTCTTTCCATAATTGGCTATATTCCAGACACACAGAGCTTCTTCATTTTCTCTAGTGCAAGAGAAGTTCCCTAAACATGACAAGCTTATTTCCACTGCAGGGCCCTCCCACTGAGCTAGCTGTTCCCTTTGCCGGGAGTGCACCCCCAGAACTCCGAATAGCTGGCTCCTCTCCATTCACTCTCAGTCTTCTCCTTGGAGAGGTCTGCCCTGGCCACGCTTGACTGATAGGGAAGACAATAGTGAACAAAACAGACCAAGTCCTGACTCTAACTCTAGTGAGGAAAACATTCAATAATCAAATTCAAATACACACACACAGTATATACTACTAGATGGAGAATGGACTGGCAGAACCAGAAGAGCCCAGTTAGGAGACAATTTCAGGAGATGAGGAGGTGTGTCCATAGTCTTCACTAAGATGAGAGTGGTGGATTTGGTCAGAAGCTGTCAGATTCAGGATATATTTTGAAAAGTACACCAATAGGATTTGCTGGTATATTAGATGTGGAATGGGAGAGACAACGAGTCATGATGGCCCTAAGATATTTTGGCCTAAGCAACTGAAAGAATGAAGCTGACATTTATTCAAGTCGGGAAGAGTAGAGGGAGAACCAGATTCATGGAGTGTAGCAGACAGTCAGTTGCCTCCTAATGTCCATTTCCCACTCTTTTTTAGTAAAATAATCCTGATTTTAGCTGAGTATATTGCCATCTAGCTAAAAACTGCTCTACTTCCCAGCTTCTCCTGCAGCTAGATGTGGCCATAATCTAAGTTCTGGCCAATGAGATATAAGCAGAAGAGGTGTTAGAATTTCTAGGAAGTTTCTTGAAAAGAAAGGGAAAATACCATTACATTTCTCCCTCCTGCTAACACAAAGAGGAAGCACACCAAAATCTGAAAGAGATGAGGAGCCTGGGTCCCTGATGAGTATGACTTCCATACATATTCTAGATTACCTACTTCTGTTATCTCTGGAGTTTTTAATTTTATTTTATTTTATTATTTTTTTTAATGCATGAGAGAAATTTCTATGCTGCTCAAGCAATTTTTGTTTCTTAATGTTTTTCTTTCTGTGTGTGTGTGTGTGTTATATGCATTTTGAAAACTCATCCAATATTGAGGATGGGTAGTTTTAGAAACGCAGAGTTTGAGATGTATATCAGATATCCAAGTGGAGATGCTGAGTAGGCAGTTGGGTGTATTCATCTGGAGGAGAGGTCTAATAGTTGTTAGCTTTTAGATATTTGAGGCTATGGGATTGGAGAATGCTTTCACCTACAGAGTGAGCACAGAGAAGAAAAAGGTGTTCAAGGACTAAGTTGTAGAGTACTCCATCATTTAGAGAAAGACTCAAGAAAAGAGACTGAGAATGAGCAGCAAGTGAGGCAGAAGGGAAACCAAGAGAGAGGTTGGTGTTCTAGAAGCCATATGAGGAAAGTTTTTAAAGAAGAAAGTTTTTCAAGAAGAAACAGCAATCAACTTTGTCAACTACTACTGAGAAGACAAGAAATATGACTGTGAATTGGTCAGTGGATTTGGCAACATGAAATTTAATGAGACACTGACAAGAGCAATTTCAGTGGAATGATGAGCACAAAAGCATGATTCGAGTGTGTTCAAAGAGAAGTAGAAAAAGAAGTGGAAATACTGAAAATAGGCACTCTTGAATCAATTTGCAATAAAAGGGTACAGAGAAATGGAGAGGTAACTAAAAGGGGATTACAAGTCACAGGAGTTTTCCACCTAATGTGGGGGCTAATACATGCATATATGCAGATAGTGATAATTTTGTACAGAGGGTAAAGTTAATGTGGAAGGTGACAATTGCAGGTGTGAAGCTCTTGAGAATGTTAAAGATGATGGGGATGGGATCCACTGGTGCTCCTCAGAGCTATATTCCCAATGCTCAGAATAGCACTTGACATACAGTAGGTGTTCAATAAATATTTTTCGAATGAATATATACATACTGTCTTATCCTAGGAGTGATCCCTGCTGAAGGCAGGTTGTCTATTCTGTGCTTGTTCCTTTTTAGTACTTTTTCCCTAACTTAGGAACAATTAACAACTAGCTTCTCTTTCAACTGACATGATTTTACATATTTATCTTTGGAATTCATCTCTAAATATCAAACATTACTCAAGATGTCCAAAAAATTAAAGTCTAATTTATATGACTGGTCTGCAAATTGTAACATCAGCAGTACACTGATCAACTGTGTTGATTTTCTGCTACAACAAAACATCAACAATATCCAGGGGAATATAACAGGGACTTAGAGCCTAAATAATACAATATTCATAATATTAAGGGCACAACTCAAAATTGCTCTATGTATGAAGAACAAGAAAAATGTGATCAATTCTAAAGAGAAGAGAAAAGAAATCAACTAATGCCAACATCATAATAACCAAATATAAAGCAAGTATTACTACTCCATGAAATAAAGGAAAACACACTTGAGATAAGTGAAAAAGTAGACATCCTCAATAGAGAAATAGAAACTATTAAAAAAAAAACCATTATAGAAATGTCAAACCTTAAAATATCTGAAAATTTCAAAAAATCACTGCATAGGCTCATACTGGGGATGACAGAGAAAGACCCAGTAAACTTGAAGATATAGCATATTAAGCATTCAAGGTGCAGAAAACCAAAAATTTAAATGTGTACAGAACCCATAGAATGTCAAAAGATTAAAAAATACATGTTATTGATTGGAGGCCAAGAATTAGAGGAACAAGAGACTAGGGCATAAAATCTGTTTGAAGAAATGATTGAAAAATTCTCAAATTTATTGGAAAGAAACAAATCTACACATTCAAAAATCTTTGTGAATTCTGTATAGTATAAAAATCAAAGAAAAAAATACCTACACGTCATGATCAAGCTGCTGATGTCCAAGGCAGAGAAACAATCTTAAAAGCAGATAGAGAAAAGGACACATATACAGAAAATGATTCCAATTATCACAGATTACTTAAATGATGGGGTAAAATAACATCTTTCATTAAGATAGCAATTCTTTCCAAATTGGTTGGTAGATTTAATATATTTCCAAGCAAAAGTCTAGAAAATGTCTTTGTCATCCCATAATTCTATAGCCAACAAAAATAGCCTAAAGGAATAAAGGCAGAATAAAGATACCGTCAGATGAAATAAAACTAAGAAAATTCATTGACAACAGATCTAATGTACCAGAAATGCTAAAAATATTTCAGGCTGGAGAGAAAGAAATCTGAAACATCAAGATAGAAGGAAGCACAAGAAGAATGATAAATATTAGGGATAAATATAAAACATTATTTTTTCCTCTTAAGTTCTTTAAAATATGACTGAATATGAAAAACAAATATATAACATTATCTGGTCAGGTTTTCAATGTGTGCAAATGTTATATGTGACAACTGCCATATAAAGATGTTGTATGTGGGCTAAGGGACCTACGTAGTTGCAAGTTTTTTACATTTTTATATAAAGCAGTACAATATTTAAATAGTCTTTGGAAGTTCAGGAAGTTTAGGTATATGTATTGAAATCTATAGAGCAACCACTAAAAAATAATGCAAAGAGATAGCCAAAAAGCAGATAAAATGGAATGCTTAAAAATATTCAAATATTAGATAGTTAAAATATCAAATATTTAAAATATCACGAATGAAGAATGAAAAAGGGTCATTATTGCTCATCCATAGACATTAAAAGAATAAGATACTATGAAAAAAATTTATACCAGCAAATTTCACAGCTTAGCTGAAATGAATATATTTTTTAAAAATATAAGTAGCAAAACTGACACAAGAACATCTGAATAATTCTATAATTACTAATTAAAATAAATGTGGTGGCAAAAAAAAATCTTCTCAAAAAGCAAACCTCAATGGTTTCATTACTAAGTTCTATCAAAGATTCAGGGAAGAAATGACAACAATAGTATCCAAACTTTTCAAAATATAGAGAAAATAATGGCTTAACTCATTTTATGAGGCCAGTAGAACTCTAATTCAAAACCTGTTGACAAAAGAAATTATCGAAGAATGCCCTCATGAAGACAGAGTCAAAAAGAAGTAGAAATAATAAATAAATTTAGACAGTTTGTAAGATAAAAGGTTAACGCAAAATAGTACGCTTTTCTGCTAGCAGCAAACAATTGGAAAAGAAAGTAAATTCCATTTACAGTAATGCCAAAAAAACAAACAGCAAAAAACAAACTAAGTCCTTTACAATCATAACTGTAAAAGTGGACTGAGAAAAAAAAAAATGAAAAGATATTCATTCCATACTCATGGAGTAGAAGACTTCATATTAAGATGGCCATTCTCCCCAAATTAATCTAGAGATTTAATGTACTCTCAATCATTATTCTAGCAGAT